AGGGAATAAAACTGGAACACTCAGAATCTGGTGCAGCTGTGCATGGTAGCCAATCAGCTTCTAATATCAGCTTGTAAAATTAAGCTTCGACATAAAAAAAAAAAAAAATGCAGATTGGTTACTATGCAAAGCTGCACCAGATTTTGCACTCTCCAGTTTTAGTAAATAACCCACAAGGAGCCTAGGACAGGAAGGACACTTATTGGTATTGTGTAGGGAAAGCACAGCCTGCCTGCATGCACAGTGAAGGTGAGGGCCCTAAAGCTGGACATACATGGGTCCAATTCTGAAATAATTTTCTTTCAAAAATCTTGTCTAAGAATTTTCATTCAAATTTCACACCATTAGTGGGCCACATCAATGGCCGATTTTTGAACAACCATCGAATTTGAGTGATCAGGCATGTTGGAAATATTTTGAAAAATGAAAACATTTCTAATTAATGATGGAAGAATTGTGCGAGAAATGTAATTGAAAAAGAGCATGAACTGTGACATGGAAATTAAAGAAAATTCTTGGCACACAAAAAAAAAAAAGTTAATGGCTGTTGGACGAATTTTGAAATCAATGGTTGCACCATCGGATTACAAAAACGCATGAAATTTCTGATTTTCTAAAGGAAATTTGTTCAGAATTGGATCCATGTATGGCCTGCACAAGGGTCTAAGGAACCACCTGGTCTTCACCAGAGTTCCTCAGTGTGGAGATAGGTTGCTCTGCAGACGATCCCCAGGTTACAGCATTCCCAAGCAGGAACATACTGAGAGTCACCATGGATAGACTGGAAGACACTAGAGAAACACACTGGGAGATACTTGGAAATAGACATTAAAACCAAGGGAGCTGCAGGATCAGTAGAAATATCTGGGTTACTGGAAGTCTCTCAAGATGTAGAACACTAGGAGTATAGGGATCAGGAAGGCAGGGACACAAGGAAGCACAGGGGGTAAACTAAAAAAAAAAGTCTCCACAAGAAAATCTTTTCTGCTAGGAATTACTAGAACACTTGGAATCACACTGGAGCCCTGAAATTAGCTGCTGCTCAGGGGAAGAGCGAGGCAATGAGCCAAGCTTAAATAGAATCAGATGGGCGTGTAGCTAATTGAATCAACAGCAGGTGGCTTAACAATCTTGAACACATGTCTTATGGGATAACAGGTAACAGCAGAACCTTACACAGTATATATTCACCTTTTTAAAAAAAATATAAATGTGCATTTTTTGCAGGTAAAAAAAAAATGTGCATTTACTATTTTTTTTCTTAGAAGCCTGGAAAGCATTGCACCAGCAATCAGCAGATCGCAGGTGCAACATCAGGCTCCTGCAGGCTGTCAAGGCGAGGTCCTTCAAAACCCAAGGTGAAAAGGCCATTGTCAAGACAAGGTCCTTCAAAACCCAAGGTGAAAAGGCCATTGTCAAGACAAGGTTCTTCAGAACCCAAGGTGAAAAGGCCATTGTCAAGACAAGGTTCTTCAGAACTCAAGGTGAAAAGGCCAAAGCACACCCCTACTTTTCCTCTTAAGTTAAGCAGCATACCCTTTTAGATCTTACAAGTTTGTGGTCGGTGCTGCACCATAGAGACATGTAAAAAGACATTATTTGCACAGAAGAGCATGCCTGCCCTCCACCAGTGGTCAATGCTGTCACCACAAAGGTACTTATGACCACAGACAAGTGGTTCATCAGGCATGGGCAGGAGCAGTATATCACCTTCAAAACACACCAGGCAAATAAGATGCTGGCTGGATGTAAGACTGGACACAAAGTTGTAGCTGGTGGTGCTGCTCCATGTCCTAGACTTTGGTGACAGTGACATTGCAGTTGCCTCTCCCCCTTCTCCTCAATGGCCATAGGCAGTCACTCCTCAGAACCACCAGTGCCCCCCCCCCCCCCCCCCCCCATGGCCCAGAGCCTATACAGCTGGCATGCCCGCAGGACCAAAGTCACACTACATTTTAAAGCCTGGAGATTCTCCAGAGACAGGAGGGCTGAGAGGTGGCTGACCAAATGCCAGCTTGTGCCAGACCAGGCTGTGATGAGACTTACAATCCCTCTGTTCTTCCTGCCAGAGTACATATTGTGTAATAGCATGAACACTGTAGACACGGCAGTTGAAAAATAGGAAAAGCTTCCTATTGTCTCATGGCCAACATGATCTTTTGCCTACTACTTTTATCCCTGTGAAGCAAAAGTGGCATAAAAGAGGGAGGAGGACTGTGGTGCAGCTGGTAGTATGCGGGAGAAGGGTTGGTGATGAAGAGGATGAAATTCTGGGGGCCTTCAATGGAGCTGAATCCAAGAGGAAAATCTTACAGGGATCTATGCCACCATCCAAGATGGAGCACAAAATACCCCACTCCGAGGTAGTGCAGCAAAGGACTTCTTTGTCATGTCTCCTGATGGTGGCTGGATCCACCATCCTATGGGAATAGGTGAAAGGGGAACACCTAATGGGAAAAGGGTGGCCTTGGCTTTCTTAAACTGGTATAAACTCTAATATATGTTGGCTTTGTTTTTTCCACTTGTCCCTGACACAGGCAAAGCTTCATACACTTCCCAAAAAAATTAAAGGAACACTTTAAGGAAAGTTAAACACTTTAACACTTTAAGGAAAATTAAAGGAAAACACATCAGATCTTGATGGGGAAAAATCTCATGCTGGATATCTCTACTGATATGGACTGGGTAATGTGTTAGGAACTTAAGGATGCCCCATCGTTGTAAATGAAAATTATCAACCTACAGAGGACTGAATTCAAAGACACCCCAAAATCCAAAGTGAAGAAATGATGCAGCAGGCTAGTCCATTTTGATGAAATTTCATTGCAGCAACTCAGAATGGTACTCAGTAGTTTGTATGGCCCCCACGTGCTTGTATGTATGAAAATGTCGGGGCATGCTCCTAATGAGAGTATGGATGGTGTCCTGGGGTATTTAGTCCCAGATCTGTACCAGGGAATCACTGAGCTCCTGGAGAGTCTGAGGTGCAACCTGGTGGTGTTGGATGGACCAAATCATGATATCCCAGAGGTGTTCTATTGGATTTAGGTCAGGTGAGCGTGGGGGCCATTCAATGGTATCAATTCCTTTATCCTCCAGGAACTGCCTGCATACTCTCACCACAAGAGGCTGGGCATTGTCGTGCACTATGAGGAACCCAGGACCCACTGTACCAGTGTAGGATCTGACAGTGGGTCCAAGGATTTCATCCTGACACCTAATGGCAGTCAGGTTGCCATTGTCTAGGCTGTAGCGGTCTGTGCGTCCCTCCATGGATATGCCTCCCCAGACCATCACTGACCCACCACCAAAACGGTCATGCTGAACGATGTTACAGGCAGTGTAACATTCTCCATGGCTTCTCCAGACACTTTCACATCTGTCACATGTGCTCAGGGTGAACCTGCTCTCATCTGTAAAAAGCACAGGGTGCCAGTGGCTGGTCTGCCAATTCTGATGTTCAATGGCAAATGCCAATCTAGCTCTATAGTGCTAGACAGTGAGCACAGGGCCCACTAGAAGACTTTGGACCTTCAGGCCACCCTCTTTAAGTCTGTTTCTGATTGTTTGGTCAGAGACATTCACACCAGTTGCCTGCTGGAGGTCATTTGTAGGGCTCCGGCAGTGCTCATCCTGTTCCTCCTTGCACAAAGGAGCAGATACCGGTCCTAATGATGGGTTAATGACCTTCTATGGCCCTTTCCAGCTCTCCTAGAGTAACTGCCTGGCTTCTGGAATCTCCTCCATGCTCTTGAGACTGTGCTGGGAGACACACAGCAAACCTTCTGGCAATGGCACATATCGATGTGCCATCCTAGAGGAGATGGACTGCCTATGCAACCTTTGTAGGGCCCAGGTATAGCCTCATGCTACCAGTAGTGACACTGACCCTAGCCAAATGCAAAACTAGTAAAAAATAGTACGCAAAGTAGGGGAAAAAATGTCAGTGACCTCCACCTGTAAAACCATTCCTGTTTTGAGGGTCATCTCATTGTTGCCCATCTAGTGCACCTGTTGTTAATTTCATTAACACCAAAGCAGCTGAAACTGATTAATAACCTCCTCTGCTACTTAATGGACCAGATCAATATCCCAGGAGTTTAACTGACTTGATGCTATACTCTGATTAAAAAGTGTTCCTTTTATTTTTAAGGATTTTAGGCTAGGCTCACACTTGCCCTGGTTCCGGGTGCAGGTATCGCACCTGTTCCTGCAACCACCTACAGCTGAACCACAGGGAAACCACATGGTTAAAACATTTTTTTTAACCACCTTCCGCCCGCCATATTAGGTAATGACGGGCACAAGGATTTTCTCTCGTTCTGGGAGGACGTCATATGACGTCCTCCCACTCTAACTGCGTGTGCGTGGACACAGCGGATCACCGATCAATGGAAAGTGCCGAGGATGTTGGCTCAGTCATGTGATCAGCTGTGTCCAATCACAGCTGATCGCATGTAAATAGGGAAATGCCGATTATCAACATTTCTCTCTGCATGAGCTGTCCAACTGACAGCTCGAGAGAAGAGCTGGTAATCGGCATTCCTCAGAGGGGACTGATGATCAGTGTAGCCCCAGCAGTGCCACCTGTCAGTGTCCATCAATGCCAGCTGTCAGTGCTCATCAATGCCACATATCAGTGCCTACCAGTGCACATCAATGCCACATAGGTGGCAATGAAAGGCAGCTCAGATGGGCACTGATATGTGGCATTGATGTGGCACTGATAAGCTGCACTGATGGGCATTGATGAGGAGGCACTGGTAGGTGGTACTGATGGGCATTGACAGGCATCACTGATGGACACTGAAAGGCAACACTCATATATGACAGTGATAGGTGGCACTGTTAGGCAGCACTGACTGGCACTGGTAGGCAACACTGATAGGTGGCGCTGACTGGCACTGATAGGTGGCAATGAAAGGCAGCTCAGATGGGCACTGATATGTGGCATTGATGTGCACTGGTAGGCACTGATATGTGGCATTGATAAGCTGCACTGATGAGGCACTGGTAGGTGGTACTGATGGGCATTGACAGGCATCACTGATGGGCACTGAAAGGCAGCACTCATATATGACACTGATAGGTGGCACTGACTGGCATTGATAGGTGGCGCTGACTGGCACTGATAGGTGGCAATGAAAGGCAGCTTAGATGGGCACTATCAGTGCCAGTCAGCGCCACCTATCAGTGCCAGTCAGTGCCACCTATCAGTGTCATATATGAGTGCTGCCTTTTGGTGCCCATCAGTGATGCCTGTCAATGCCCATCAGTACCACCTACCAGTGCCTCATCAGTGCAGCTTATCAATGCCACATATCAGTGCCTACCAGTGCATATCAGTGCCCATCTGAGCTGCCTTTTATTGTCACCTATCAGTGCCAGTCAGCGCCACCTATCAGTGTTGCCTATCAGTGCCGCCTATCAGTGCCAGTCAGTGCTGCCTAACAGTGCCACCTATCAGTGTCATATGAGTGTTGCCTTTCAGTGCCCATCAGTGATGCCTGTGCCTTCTCATCAATGCCCATCAGTGCAGCTTATCAGTGCCACATCAATGCCACATATTAGTGCCCATCTGAGCTGCCTTTCATTGCCACCTATCAGTGCCAGTCAGTGCCACCTATCAGTGCTGCCAACCAGTGCCGCCTATCAGTGCCAGTCATTGCAGCCTAACAGTGCCATATATGAGTGCTGCCTTTCAGTGCCCATCAGTGATGCCTGTCAATGCCCATCAGTACCACCTACCAGTGCCTCATCAGTGCCCATTAGTGTCACCTATCAGTGTCCATCACTGCAGCTTCATTAGTGCACATCAGTGAAGGAGAAAAATCACTTATTTACAAAATTTTGAAACAAAAACTAAGAAAAAATGTTCAGCTGTTTTTGGTTTGTTTAGCAAAAAATAAAACTCCCAGTGGTGATTAAATACCACCAAAAGAAAGCTCTATCTGTCTCAAAAAAATGATAAAAATTTCATATGGGTACAATGTTGCATGATCGCGCAATTGTCATTCAAAGTGCGACAGCACAGAAAGCTGAAAATTGGCCTGGGCAGGAAGGGGGTGAAAGTGCACTGTAGGCAAGAGGGTAAAAAGGTGCAAGCACTTTTTTTCTGCAGGATACGCGAGCAATTGAATTGAATGGACTGCTGAGCCCAGGCAAACATGTTCTGCACGGCCTGCAGTAATGTGAACCTAGGGTAAGGAGTGAGAGGCCAGCGGTCGCTGAAGCCAAGCAGAAACACGATCTTCAATATTGCTGAGAGCCAAACACTGGTCCAGCCCCACCATCAGTTTCTTTTTATATTATTTATTTGGAACAATATTTAAAGTTTAGCATTTTTTTTTATTTAGCGTTTAGTATTTCAAGTTTAGCATTTTTTTTTTTTTTTTAGCGTTTAGTATTTCAAGTTTAGCATTTTTTTATTGTTCAAAATTGTAACCATGAAAATTTTTTTTGCACTTTAAGAATGTCCCTGCTTTGCTCAAACAAAGACAGTGGGGCAAGAACTCCAGGGTTGTATATAAAATCTGCAGGTGAACACATTCACAAACTTTTGGTTTAAGGTGGCCAAATATGCAATTCAAGTACTAACCTATTATGCTGCGTGTGTCATTGAAGGAAATGTTTAGTTTTATTTCTTGGGGGGTGGGGATGGTCTCATGTAGTCTAATTAATACAGTTAATAAAAATAAAAATTGCATAGATAAAATCAAATGAATTACAAGTAATAAATAAAAATTTGTTTTTTCCAAGGCAGCCAGGTTATCATTAAGAAATAAAGAATAAAGTGCATACGTAATGTGAAACACACACAACACACAGTTAACCCTTTGATCACCCCAGATGTTAACCCCTTCCTGCCCAGTGTCATTAGTACAGTGTCAGTGCTTCTTATTAGCACTGATCACTGTATTAGTGTCACTGGGGATGTCAGTGACAGTCAGTTCCCACCCAATGTCAGAATTTCTGTCCCGCTATAAGTTGCTGATCACCGCCATTACTAGTATAAAAAAAAAATAATAATTCCAGTATATATACCGCCATTTGTAGACATTTGTAAAACTTTCACATAAAGCAATTATTTTATAATTATTGGGATTTCTTTTTTAGCAAAGACATGTAGCAGAATACATTTTTACCTAAATATATGACAAAATTAGATTTTTTTAAATGTTTTTATTGGACATGTTTTATAGCAAAAAGTAAAGAATATGTTTTTTTTAAAAAATTGTATGTATGTTTTTTATTTTTTTGCCCTACAACCAAAAAAGACTGTCGATCAAATACCACTGAAGGAAAGCTCTATTTGTGGGACAAAAAGGACGTATATTTCATTTGGGTGAAGCGTTGCATGACCGCGCAATTGTCAGTTAAAGTAACGCAGCGTCGTATCGCAAAAAATGGCCTGATCAGGAAAGGGGGTAAATCCTCTGGAGGGCAAGTGGTTAACACACAATTTTGTTTAGTTTTCTCTCTCCAAGGAGAGAGAGATGCAATGTATTTCTTCCCTCCATTCAGAGAGAGAATACACAGGGGCGGGCTCCACAGTGACCAATCGTAGGCTATCACAGTGATCAGGTAGCTCGGAACCAGGAGTTACAGGTCCTGATTGTTATGCAGGCCATAGATGGGTCGAAAATCGGCCGATTTGTCGGCCGAAAAAAAAAAAATCGGCCGATTTTCGGATCGTTAGTGGGCGATTTGGTCGGCCGTTTTTCGGGATTTTGGCCGTTTTTTTTTTTTTTTGGTAAAGTTGGAAAAAAATCGGCCGATCGGCCAATTTTCGCGGCATTAATGGGCCAATCGGCCGATTTTTTACCGATAAAAAAATCTGCGCATGAGCAGTGACCTGCAAGAGGAAGACAAAAAAAGAAGAAAAAGAAGAAGAGGAAGAGGATGAAGAAGAGGATGAAAAAGAGGATGAAGAAGAGGAAGAAGAAGATGAGGATGAAGAAGAGGATGAGGAAGAAGAAGAAGAAGATGAGGATGAAGAAGATGAGGATGAAGAAGAAGAAAGAAGAGGATGAGGATGAAGAAGAGAAGAGGATGAGGAAGAAGAAGAAGAAGAGGAAGAAGAAGAGGATGAGGAAGAAGAAGAGGATGAGGAAGAAGAAGAGGATGAGGAAGAAGAAGAAGAAGAAGAAGAGGATGAGGATGAAGAAGAAGATGAAGATGAAGATGAAGAAGAAGAAGAAGAGGATGAGGATGAAGAAGAAGATGAAGAAGAAGAGGATGAGGATGAAGAAGAAGAAGAAGAGGATGAAGAAGAAGAAGAAGAAGAGGATGAGGATGATGAAGAAGAAGAGGATGAGGATGATGGAGAAGAAGAGGATGAGGATGAGGGAGAAGAAGAAGAAGAAGAAGAAGAAGTAGGATGAAAATAAGAAGAATTCCAGTCCAGCAAAAAGTATCTCTGCAGAGAGCTCCGCTATTTCTGACAGTTCTCTGACAGTTCTTTGACATTTACAGCGGTTGAAACATTGTATCTGTTTCCGAATAAAAACATCTGTATCCTAAATGGAAACAAATAGATACAATGTTTCAACCGCTGTAAATGTGAAGGAACAGAGAACTGTCAGAAATAGCGGAGCTCTCTGCAGGGACACTTTTTGCCAGCTGTAGAAGGGATGAAAATCGGCCGATTTTTTTTACCATTGATGGTAACGTCGGCCACTTGAACGACCGAATTTTCGTTTTTTAAAAGAAAAATCTGCCGTTTTTTCTCCCCATCTATGGCCTGCATTAGTACGTGACCTGGGGCTCCTGGTGAGACCCTGGTTTCTATGTTGGGAGCATGCTGTGCAAATGCCAGAAAATACCGCTATACAGAGCAATACAAAGCAGCATGCTGGTGCTGACAGGGGGAGAGATCTGTATTGTTTACATACAGACCTCTCCCCTGTCAGTGCCCCTCTGCGATCACCGGGTGCCGGCGTGGAATCTCCAACCAGGACCCAGTGACCAACATCTGTAGCCACCAATAGAGACAAGGGTAGGGTGGCGCACGTGCCCCCAATCCGGAAATACAAAATCACGTATGTATACATGATTTTGCGCAGTCCTGCTACCCTGTAGCAGTAGTTCTGCTGTGGGGCGGTCAGGAAGTAGTTAAAAAAAATAATTAAAATAAAAAATACCTAGATCAAGGTTTGATCTAGTTCAGTGCCAGAGTTAGTATTTGGGTCAAAGGAATATACAGCTACAATTAAAAAATATATTTTTGTTTTGCTATTTTGGGCCAGTTTTCCTTTGGAAAAAAAAATCAGCAAATATCAATGACCATTTACCACCAAATGAAAGCCCAATTTATCCTGACAAAACACAAGTTATAATCCAACTGGATACACAAAGTAGTTGTGATGATATGTACGGTTTTACTAACACGTGTCAAAGTTGCAAAATTGTGCCACAGAGGGGTTAAAGGAATTTTAGAAAGAAGAAATGAAAACATGAACATTTTTAAAACATAAAAAGGCACCCCAAAAATAAAAACCGATGGAGGTATGGTGGCCCAAGAGCAACTGAAATTGTTTCGGTGACACACACACAAAAGTATAGAAAATACTCTGGGATATCTTCAAAATCCTCCTCTATTGGCATTCAATGACCAGCATCTAACTGTCCCTGAAAACACTCTGAAAATATCTCCCTAAAATTTCTGTGTGTTTGTGGCCGCATGTAAAAATAGAAATGTGGGGTTTTTTTTAGCTCTCAACTTCTAACTTGGATTTACTGGTGGGAATTTACTGGAATACAGAGCTTTGTTGGCAAATCAGTGAAAGTCTCAGTTTTTCTCCTTTTCCTGCCCTTGATCTCCCTTCCCATTCCATGTTGAGTGGCTTAGCGCTCCCCCAATCCCCTGACACCCCTTTTTTTTCTGTCCTTTCTTTCTGCCCTCTCTCATTTAGTTATGTCCGAGAGCTCCCCCTCATAGACCACTAGCTTCTACCCTTTATGGTCGTGGTGGCGTACAGACAGTTAAAGCAAAACCTTTATTTAAACCCAACTGTTAAGCCAGGTATCACATCACTAGTGTCTAGTCCTGGAGATCATTGGTTATATTCTACTAGTCATTCTTTAAATAAAATTCTTCTGCATCTTGTTACGTGAAACATTTGTTTTATTATGAGATATGTTTTTGCCTTTGGTTTGCTACTTTCTGTCCCATTCTTTTGAAAATTTACAATTACAAAAAAAAACATGGGCCTTATAGAAATCTGACCTTTTAACTCTGTAGCGCTCACCCCGAAAGGGGCTGCTGAGTAGTCCCAGGTTCTCTTCCCTAGATGGTGCAAAGGCAGCCAGGCACATTAATGCTGTCACTTTTCTGGCTCAATGACCACTCTGGGGTTA